GGTCAGCGATCTGAGTGTATCATCTGATGTTTTTGTCCATGTGGCATTTGTTTGGGTTGAAACCAGGAAAGCTGGTGCATCTACATCGCCAGCAAGCGCGTACAACAGCCTGACTGTAGCCAAAAGGACATGGAGACTGGCAGGGAGAAGTTGATTATTTGGGTTTTTCCCCCCACTGATATGTGGGCTGCACATTGGAGAACTATTTTTAGTAGACAGCGGAGTGAAAAAAAAAAAAGCTTAGGCTGTGTTTTAGAACTGTAGCATCCATTGCAAGTACCAGTGGAAGTGCTGAGGAAGGCACGAGGTTCCCATAAAACACTCCCTTCTACCTTCATTAGGTGCTGGGATAATTAACAGGGATGTCTAAGGATTGCAGTGCCGGTGCTAAAAGCAAACTGGCCGCCCTTAGCCAGGCTGGCCCTGAGCACAGAAAGCTGCGTATCCGCACCGCTGACCCTGGGAACAAAGGATCCTCCTGAACCCAAACATGTTTGTGTTAATCCCGGCTGCTTCCTGGCGGCCAGCGAGAGGAAACGGAGCCACTACCTCTAACAGATGTACAGTGAGGAGATTACAGTGTGCGATTAAACACCCTCTCCATCACATCCTCCTCTCCGCCGTCCCAGCCCGGCACGTTAATGGACTGTCCCAGGCTGCCTGCCAAGCTCGGGCAGATGTAGCAGGCAGCAGACACTTAATCTTCAGCATCCGTGCCTGGTTTGGAGCCGTTCCCTGATGCCAAGGCTCCTGCAAACACACCGCCCCATCACACCAAAAGTGTGAGCTGTGTTAGCTGTACCTGCCTGCGAGGCGGAGCGTGCTGCGGAAATGCGGGAGAAACATGTGGAGTTCACGCCATCCAGAAAAGATGAATTTAACCGAAAAGCTGTTAAAACTAAACCAAAACGTGCTCTCCCACATCAGGTTCCCCTGTGCTAGTGGGCCGGGGTTTGCTAGTGGACAAGGTGCCGAAGGAGAAGTTGGGCAGGGTCTTGGTTTTGGTGGACTGACTTGCTGCTTGGCTGTTAGGTTTAGCCTGGAAGATTTCGGGGCTGGGAAGGACGTGTTCCCTCTTTGTGTGGGTTTAGGCGCTGCCTTAAATTGCAGAAGCCATTCTTTGTGCCAGTGCTGCTCTTACAATAGAAATCATCTAGGCTGGTTGCAAAAAATCAGCCATCCTACTGTGTGGTTAGGTTAATTAATACGGTAATGGCAGAGTATGTTTCTTTATCAAACAAAAAGCGGTTTGTAAAATAAAAGAACCCCCTGTGGAAATTGTAGAGATCAGAATTGTCATCATGGGAGACGTGCAAAACCCTCAGCAGCCGAGCGAGGTGGATTTGAATAAGAGTAAAAATTTAAAAAAAAAAAAAAAAAAAAAAAAAGAATTTAAAAAAAAAAAAAGCTTTTCACCAGTAAAAAAAAGTTGCTTTTCTCAGGCGAGAGCTGTGACCTCAGTTACGGCGCTGCGGGCGTTACCTTTGTCTGAACCGTGGGCTTTCTCCCTGCTTTTGTGCAAAGGGGTCCAGCACGGGTTCCTGTAACTGCCAACAATGTGCCATTGCCTTGGGTGGAACAAGGGAGAAGTCGCAGCGAGTTCTGCTGATGGCACGTGTATTGTCTGTTTTTTCCCTGCCTGTGTTTTGGAGAGGACCAGTGGCTTGGTCAGAAGCAGCGCCAGGTGACGCTCGGAGCTGGGAAGCCACGGGGATGACTCCTTCCCGGGGTGCATTGGAACAGGCAGGCAGAGCTGCCCAGGGGTTTGCAGCTCCCCATGGCCGACACATCTTGGGAAGAGCTCCCAGAAGCGTGCGCGGCTGCGGTGGCCCTCGCTGGGCAGCGGTGACAGTAACGCGGAGAACCGGATACCTCCCGTCTCATGCCATTGCGGTGCGTTTGGGAGTCTGCATTGCCCCTTTCTCCTCGCCTGCACAGGAATCCCTTTTCCCGGGTGTAGGAGACAACTGTTGGGCAAATATCAGCAGCCTCGGCTCAAGGGAGAGCGTTGTGTTTAAATAGCCGCAGTGTGCAAAGCAAGGATGGTGGCAGTAACAAAAGGCAAAGGGAATGACTTTCATAAGTATAAGTGGCACCATCTGCTTCAGAAGGGCATCGCTTCTAATTCGGCAGCGAAGGAGGCTCCTGGAGTTAAGTAATTGGGAATAGTAGGCTCCTGGCTGGAAAGTGTGCCAACCCTTCTGGCAAAAAGCTGTTAAATCTTTGTTGCTGGCGTGTGAAAGTGGTTCTGTGTGGCAGGGCTCCAAAGGCTGGTTTTAACCCTTGATATATGTTAAAAAAAAAAAAAAACCAACCTACAGCACATTAGATCTTGGAATGGCATGTGGCCAGATATCGAGAATAAAAGGGGGAAGGTGGGTCCTCATCCGAGGTACGTGGATGGCTCCAAGTCTGATCCTCCCATGCCGGTAACAGCCAGACCTGGCCTGCCAGCAAATGCCCACAAAATGGTGCCTGTTTTAACAGCTTTAGCAGGAAAACACAGTGTATGATGAATGATTTGTGAGGATCACTAGAACCAAGGCATTTACTGCCCCTTAAAACTAGTGCCTGCCTGCCAAAGGGTGGATTTGCAAGGTGAGCGATCACAAAATCCTCTGCTGAGCTTTTTGGGATGCAGTCGCAACGCTTGGCTCTCCTCTGACTACAGCCCTTACCCTGCCGTCTGCAAACACGTCCGGCTTACCAGCCAGGACGAGGAGCCTTTCATTCTCCAGATGAAAGCATAAACTGTTGCGCATCTCCCAGCGAGCACAAATACGAACAAGTCAATATTTTGCACCCCCTCCTCGGGGTGGCTTCCTTGGAAGCTTTGGTCTCCATCCTGTTTGTCTGATTTGCGATCAAAAGCGTGTTGCTGCATACGTGTGTCTTCAAGCAGTTACTTCTACCAGATCTCAGATGAACGCCCGATTTCCTCATTAAAATAAAATTAAAATCATGCAAGCAGAAAAGATCTCTCTCTGCAGTTGCCTTTCTCTAATAGTGTGACCAGAGCTGGGCAAAGCTCTTTTGGGACCTTCTTTGGTGTGGAGGGGAAGAGGATGCTTCACAGCCGTATGGGTTTTCCTGCCAGGGGGAGAAAGTTGGATTTAAAAGCCTGAGCCCCAGCCATCCTGAAGATGAAACAGTTGGATTGTGAAATGTGTACTTTTTTCCAAGTTTGATTTGGATGTTTTTTAATCTTCCTCAAATTAAAGGAAAATCCCTTGTTTGACCCAAAACAAAATTATGTTTTCTTTGGCCAGCCAACATAAAAAAAAAAAAAAAAAATCAACTCTCTCCCCAGTGTTAGTCCAAGTTCCCTTGCCAGCAGTGCCTCCTCCACAGCTCTCCTGTTCTACGCAGCTTTACCAGTCCCAGATTAGAGCCTCTTTGCTAAAGAGTTTACAAGAACGGGAGCGTTCAGTCACTTGCTCCAAGTTTAGTTCAGCTATTCTGGTTAAACTCATAAATATTTGTTCATATTCCACTTCCGTTCTGTGGCCATTTGTCCACAGCCTGCCTTTTCCATCTGTTTACTCCCATAAACTGCTTTATTTTGTAAGGTTTTACAAAGCATAATATGGATTTTCTTGTATGCACGGTGAAGCAGAGTTCTTGATGCAGCTGCAAGGG